TTGGGTTGATTCCACGTCTTCCCTATTGTAAATAGTGCAGCAATAAACCTAGGGATGCAAGTGTCCTTTAGAATTAATGTTTTTGTGTCCTTTGGGTAGAAACCTAGGAATAGGATTGCTGGATCATATGGAAGCTCCAATTTTAGCAGTTTGAGAAACCTCCACGCAGCTTTACATAGTGGTTGAACCAGTTTGCATCTCCACCAGCAGTGTTGAAAAGTTTCTTTTTCTCTACATCTTCACCATCATTTGTTGTTGCTAGTTTTTGTGTGTTGTTTTTTTTTTAAGATTTATTTAAATTTACATACAGAACTGGGGTAAGGCCAGAGGTGCAGGGGCGGTGAGAGGATTCACCAGAGACAAAGTTGGGAGCAGACAGTCAGATCGATGAAGTACATTGCTGAGGGGAGCAGCAGGCAGGTCAGGAAAGGTCTGCTGCGCCATGTGGATCACCTCTGGGGTAGGGATCAAACTCATGCTGAAGTGGCTTTAGCTTCTTAGTGCTGTGCTTTAACCCACTGCACCACCAGGGAGGGCCCTGTTGCTAATTTTTTTAATATATGCTGTAATATTATTTATTATTTTAGTTTGCTCTATGTACTGAGATATCCTGGAGACCTTTTTTGTGGGAGGTCCCCTTTCAGGCATAAATTCACCTGGAGAAAATTTCACTTAAGAAATCCACCAGGAGTTCCTTACAAAGGAAGTACTTCCCTACGAAGAGGGAATTTTAACCAAAATTTAAAGCCATTATATTGGGGAAAGATGAAAAGCTTTGTAGAAAGCTTTCTTTTGGGCACGGAATAAACATTTGGGTTACGGCCAGGCTCTAAATTTTCTGTTAGCTCCCTTCTGTTATTTTCCCTAACCCAGGCACCAATCAACACGATTTGTGCCAAGTTAGAAAAGAAAGATCAGCATAGGGAAATTTCATTAAGTTGAAGGCAATGTTACATTTGGATACTGTATACCTAGACCTATAAATGAAAAATGTCCCATTTATGCCTAGAAGAGGGATCATAAAGATGAAGGAACAAAATGGAAAGTTCAGCTAGAGATCCAATATGTTGAAGTATTTACAATCTAAAAAACTATTTAGTAAAGAATGTTTAGTTAAAAAACCAACTTCTTGATGATTGCATAATTGATCAGAATTATGTGTTTGTTTTTTTTTTTTTGCTGAACACTTATTCCCTTGCTTGTGAAACAGAAATAGATGTACACACTGTGTAAAAGTATAGTGAAGAGTGTAAGAAAGAATGCATGTCACTTAAGTAGTACTTTGCCTTGCACTTCATAAATTCTCGATACCTGATAGTTAGCTGAATAAGTGATTACTTATATTCCTTTTAGCAACCAGTAGGAGGATAAAGATTAGTAGGTGAAAACTGAGGAAGTTTAATGTATTATGTCTGGTCTACTACCTTCCCTCTTGGGCTGTTGTATGAACAGGCCTGTATAGAAACTCTGTTGGGAAATGTTGGTCAGGGGAGTTCCTTGGAAAACTGAAGCACAACTGGTTGGGTCTGGTTGTAAGTGGTAGATATTGTGGAAAGCAAAGTTCAGTATGCACCCAGGCCACTGTTAGAGTCCCTAAGTCCCTGCACACTGTGGTCTCTTTGCTCTGACTGCCAGCCTTATCAACCGGCCCCATCTACCATATGATAAGGTAAATGCAAAATTTTATTATTTGCATTCATAATAATGATGTGGGGTGGAAGATTATTGCTGAATGTGGCTATTAATCATGGATTATTTTTCTACACTTTTTCCTCAATTTATATTCAAAATGGGTTGCAGTGAATAGTTGTAGTCATAGGTTTGTGCTGTCTGGTAAAGAAAGCCAAAAATTGCAGTTTGGACATCAGGTAGCGGGTAGCAGAGATTTGAAGTGGTATATGTGACACCATCAGAGGGAACTTTTTGGGAAGCTATACATACAGGATAAGCAGACAAAGCTCTTAGACACTATATCACATTATAAAAAATATCCTTTAACACCTCCCTCAGTTAAGAGAAAAGCTGTGTGTGTGCAAATGTGAGAGAGAAAGAGATCAGGAGTTTTCAGAACTATAGACATACTAAGAATATAGCATTTTACATTGTATTATTTAATAAAATATATATGGATATTATAAATATACTATGATATAAATACACTATATTACAGGATAAGAGGCAATAGAACAAAAACTTCTATATACAGACATTTTTCCCACTCTTTACTGTTTCTTATCCACATATATTAATTTTGTCTTCAGGACAAGGTATAAAAATTTAAAACACAAGAAATGCAGCTCTAAATTGAATCAGTAAAATGCTATGTAAATGTATTTCCTTTATATTCACAGTTACTAAGTATATATTGTTGACCAAAAAGCGAGTTTTAGGCACCTTTTACAAAAGGACTGCATTTTTTTGCCATTACCTTTATGACTTCTTAAAAATATGTGATGCCTTGTATTAAGTGTTTCCCATTTGAAATGCTTGGTGTAGTTGCTTTGTTGTTGATAGTGCTGAGCACTGCACAGGATTCTCAAGACTAGGCCTTACATAAGTGGGCTATGACTCATATTTTGAGAAAAAATGCTGTTGTTTTTAATGGAAGGAATAAATTACACCACCCTTTATTTTTTAATTTTTGTATTGAGGTAGCTTTGCACAACCATTTTAATGCTTACCTGGTCCTACTATTTCAGTGGAATAGTTCTTGTATATGATCTATGTAGTAATTTCTTTGATGTGTTAAAGTTATACTAACTTGCAGAAGGACAGGATAGAGGGTTAGCGAAATCACCCAATGACTGGGATAATCCTGAGTAAATTGCTGAACTTTGAAAACAGCATAAATATTTGTTTCTTAAACTCCCAGCATCCCAGGTTTCTGAATTTACTATTCATTGCCAGTAAGAATTAAACAGCCAATCTCAAGTGTTTTTAAGGGACATTTTTCCTTGGGCATGAAATGCTCTTTGCAAATGTTGACAAAGTACTAGATAAGCAATTGTGTAGTTAAAATAAAATATTATCTGTGGACCAGATCTGAGGACTTAGCGATCTGAGCCTAGGGACCACTTGGTTGTGACTTTTGCCCTAGGACTTTTCTGTGCTGGAGCTGGAGGAGTCAAAAATAAAACAAACTGTCCTTTGTCTCAAAATGACCCAAAGCTATTGAGAAAAGAGATAAATACAATACAAATATGCACAAGATAGAACTTCAGGCCAGAGGAGGGTGGAAGTCAAGCAGGGACAGAATTGGATTCCTGACAAAAATGACACACCATATTAACTGGGATTAACAGAATCTGGAAGGATTCATTAGGTAGGTGCCTGATGTAATTAAAGAGGCATTTAGAAAGAGGGAGCAACATGAAATAATGAGCATCACCTCATGAAATGTCTTCACAGGAAGCTGTAAGATTAACACTGCTGAATCATAAATTAAAAGCAAAGTGGAAAAGCAGGGGCAGTGGAAGTGAATGAGAGAAGTAGTGAGCCTAGAGACTAATAATAGTGCGAAGCTTTGTCTTTTGATTTTATCTAACCAGCAATGGAGAGCAAGTGATAAGTAGCAGCAATATGGAAAGATGGGAAAGGAGAGCATGTCCAAGAGAAATCTGTGTATAGAAGAACCGAGAAACACCTATGAACTGGAGAACAGATGGGATGTTGTACAGCACTGACAATGAATAAATCTGCTATACAGATGAATCTTAGAAATAAGATATTTAGTGTAGAAAAACAACTCTCAAAAGGCTACGTAGAGAAAATAGAAATTTATAAACAATCAGAACTAAAATTCAGTTAAGCATACTTCTGACAAAGATGTATGTAAAAAGAGCAAGGGAATAATGCATTTAAGTCAAACACTGGTAGTTATTTGGGAGGAAAGTTGGAGAAAAGTTGGTGAGGAGATTTAAATTGTTAGTAATAGTCTAGTTCTCTGTTCTTTCTTGTTTAAAAATATTTATTTTTTATGCATACAGAGCTGGGGTACAGGCCAGAGGTGCAGGGACAGTGAGAGGCTTCACCGGAGACAAAGACGGGAGCAGAACAGGCAGATTGACACACTGCTGAGGCAGGTAGCGGGAAAGACAGGAGAGGTCTGCTGCGCTATGTGGAGCACCTCGGGGCTGTGGACTGAACTGGCACTGATGTGGCTGCAGCTAGCTTGCAGTGCTGCGCTTTAACCCGTTGTGCCGCCAGGGAGGGCCCTAGTCTAGTTCTTTGATTGAGGGCTGGACTCACCGTGTTTTATTGTGATTTTGATGGGTAAATCATTAGATAAGCTCTCATCTGTGGGCCCACAATGAAACTCATCACCCAAGATGCTGCTGATCTGTTCTCTATACTGAGGACTCTTAAGAACTATAGAAGATGTATTTGAGAGATGTAGAGCTTGAGAGATGTACTTGATGTTTAGTTTGGAGGGTAATCTATTCGTTTTCTGGCTTATCTATCCCTTATCGGGAAGAGGCCTCAGAGAGGCCCACGTGCTCTCACATCCCGCGCTTTTTGCCCTTTGCCCTTAACCATCGTCTCTTCCCGCCACCGGGAGGCGTCTAAAGCCGAGCTGTGGGGCGAGGAGTGGGGCGGCCGGCGGATCCGAAGCCTTCTTATTGGTGGAGAGATAGCGCCTGAGCGAGGCTGGAGCGGTAGCGCCGAGGAGAGGGGCGGAGGGCGGGGCCTCGGGTGCGTGCCTTTGGGGGCGGGGCCAAAGGCACTTAATAGGACCGAGGCGCAAGTGCAATTGTCCGCGCCTCGCTGCGATGGCGGCGGCGCCGAGCACAGTCACCCCGCTGGCGGCGAGGTCTTCCCCTCAGGAAGCTACCTTCTCTGCCGCCTCCTCCTCCTACACCGCCTGCGCGGCGGCGGCGGCGGCGGCGGCGGCGGCGGCGGCAGCAGCAGCAGTGGTTGTGCCTGCCTCCCCCGCCACCTCCACCCCTGCCTGCCTGCCTGCCGGTGGCTGTGGCGACGGCGGCGGCTGTGGCGACTCCACTATGGCGGCGGCGGGGAGGGGGGGCAGTAGTTTTAAAGTAGACACCCGCCCTTGCCTCAGAGAAGGTGAGTTCCCGTCCCGGGGTGTGGGGGCGGCCCCATCTCCTTCGCTGCCTCTCCAGCCCGGCTGAGATCGGGCTGGGCGCGGTTCGCCACCGCCCCACCCCCCACCTGCTGTGGCGCAGTAAAGGCCAAGCTCGCCCCGCCCCGCCCCGCCGTGTTAGCCTGGAGCGTGCCAGACGGATCGAGGCAGAGAAGGGCTTTCCCTACTCCCCTTCTCCAGAAAAAAAGGGGCGCCCCAGGAAAAGGAGCCTCAGGTGCCCACCAAGCAGGAGTTTGAAGGGGAAAAAAAATACATAATTTCTCCCCAGCCAGGGCGCTTAAAATGCTCAGGACCTGAGGTGTGATTTGGTAAAAGAGGAGGTAAAGTAGGAGAGGTTCAGGGAAAGAGGGGGGGTTGATGAGAAAGGGAGTAGAGATCAAAGCCAAAAAGGCAAAAAAGAAAAAAGAACAAGAAGAAGACGAGGAAAGCAGCGCCCCCTCCCCCACCCTTTGGTGAAATTCAGCATCCTGCAGTGTAGACATTTGCAGTGGATATTTAAGGAGAGATGAGTTTAGGAATTTGCAGAGTTGAGAGCGTATATATGAACTATAGGGTCTGTTGGGTTTTAGGATCTGTTGCATTTAGGATCATAGAGTCTGTTGGAGGCTCTGTACTGAGGAACCAAGAGAAGAGTGTGGCAGAAGCACAGATTTCAGGAATCACTTCAGAGAGTTTTTCTTTGGCTATGCGAGGGTATGACCTTGTAAACCAAGGTATAAGGGTCCATCTTTAGTGGTTTTGGGTTTTTAATAAGTGTTGTACCTACCAACACATGACTCCTTACATAAAAAGTATATTTGACCATTTCAAAATAAGTGGTATTTAGTTTACACGTAGTACTATGTAATTGTCAACAGCCTACTAATGGACTGTAAAATTTGCCATTGAAATGTGTTTGAAAGCAGTTTTGGAAATGCTTCTTAGTTGGTTGAGATGGATTCCACTGTAGAAAATTCTCAGTAAAGCATTTTGCCATCATAAATTTTAAAGTCGATTTACAGTTTTTGCTGTTACTTTATGTTGCTAAACTTGCTTTCAGAGTGAAAGATTGTGGACACCAAAATAGAGTAATTTAAGTTCCTTTTTCTTAGGAACCCCATTAAAATTACCCCATAAAAATGATTTTTTTTCTACAGCTATTTTTAAATGATAGATCCCTGTGTGCTATTGCATAGCCTTTCACACCTTTCACTTTGAAGGAATGGCAAAGCACTAAAAAAAATTGCCATAGGTACATTGCATAAATGCCATTTACTAATATGGAAATTAGAAATACACTGTAAACGTGACTTATTCACTAGCTCTTACTGAAGGCAACCACCGAAATCCTGTTAAGTGTTTTCCATCATCCTGGATTGGTACAGTTGTTCTGGGACAAAATGAAGTCTGGATTTTTTGTTTTTATACCAAAATTTCTGCCTATAACTAGAAAGGAGGAGCAATCTCATAGGTGTTCAGTATTCCAGTTCAGTTTTGCACTTGCACTTTCTCATAGTAAGGGTTAGGGCCAGTATCTTGGGAAAATAGCTTTTGGCTTGATTCTGTGACTGATTTAGTTGCAGTATCTTTGAAGATATGAAAGTATCAATGGTTTTAAGAGGTATAAATTTATGAAGTAGCAGCAATAACCTAGCTTTTCTATTGCTAGTAAAATGAAGAAGTCCTAGTAGTCTGGTGTAATTAACCTAGGTTCTGTTGCTAGTTTAGCCATTAGATTTTGTGATCCTAAACACACCCTAAGCTTCCTGGATTTGGATTGGTCAAGAGTTACTGCACTGACCAAACGTTGGGTTGATTCACATCTGAACGTATGAATCATGATTTTGTAGTTCTACATTAATAATTCTTTCAAGGACATTGCCATAGTTGTGCACTAGAACAGTATTCCATAAGCCACAAGAAACCTTTGACTGATAGTTATCATCTGACATTCAGTGACTAATGAAATCCTCGTTGTTAACTTGAGAGAATTTCTTAGAATATGAAAAATCAGATATGATTTTAGGCATATATCCTTCTTTATTTACTGTTCAGTCCAAACCAAACCTCTCAATTTTTCATTTAACAATTTTTCAATTAATTGGTAGCACCCAAAACACTAATAGGTCTCAAAATATTTTGTTTAGGTATACAGGCCATAAATTGTTGCCAATTACAGTAATGGATAAAGGAAAAGAGAAAAATTTTGCATGGTGACATACCAATATCATTGTTTTTTTAAAAGTTCTAGTTAGGAGATTGCTCTAAAAGTTAGCAAAAATAATTGTCAGTATTCCAGTTATTACAATTCCATTCAATAGGACCTTTAAAAGTGATTTGAGAAAGCATGTGTTAATCCATTTTCAGCAATAGCTAGACAATTCTGAGGATCTCATCTGTCTTGGGGTTAGTAATGAGCAAATGTCAGTGGACATCAGGCATTGCCAAGCAGGGAAGATTAAAAGCTCCCTAAGGTTACAACTGGGGGCTTGAACAATGAAGAACAAACCAAAGAAATGCAAATGAACAGACATATAAAAAGACACATATTCACCTAGAATCCATTGTTAAGAGAGTCACTAGAATTTGTAGGACACTTCATATTTCATTCAGTTAAGTTTTTCAAAAATGTTTAATAACTCAAAAATAAAATTTTCATCCAGTATTAATAAACCAGTGCAATCACAGTAAAACTCAAAACAAACAAACCCTCTTGTTTGTTAATTTACCTCTTCCTTTTATGAAAAAGAAATTAGTAAATGGTCCTATTTTAAATCGACATTCTGGCTTTTTACTTAGTTCATAAAACAGTTTGCTTAGCAAATATGTAAGGAGGCTTTCTTTTTGCTCTATGCCATTGATTAAGTTTCAGGTCCATCATAAGATCTAGTTAATAGCCTTTCTTTCATTTATTCAGGAGTTACTTACTGAACATCTATCTGTAAGTGTGTTTTCCAGCACTACGCTCATTGCTGAGATTATGCAAAGTAGATACAACAGCTTTGTGAAAGAGCTCAATTGTAGTGCTTGATAGTAAAATTAAAAAATGAACAAAAAGTTAGGGAAATACAGTTTTAGGTATAACTATTGAAACTACTACTGTTCCAAGGTTTATTATAAATCTATACTCTGCCTGTAATGTCTTATACATGGTAGCATACTAAAGCACATTATATTGTAAGTCTAATTATTGGTAGGAAGAATAATTAGTTCACTGCTAGAATTTTTAATTCTTTACATTTGCCAGGGTGGGGAATGTCTGAAGAAAGAGAGGTTAATGACCATTTGTTGGTCATTCAGACCCTTTATCAGTATGTGAAATGTTCTAAGCATGCCCCATAATATATACATCACAGTGTTAGTATAGGGACTTAATTATTTTTCATGTGAAAACAGTCTTGCAGATTCATTCACATTTACTAACCTTTTGGAATTAATGGCATGGCTTTCTGAAGCAGGAGAGCTGTCATGGGATCAAGTACATTAATGATAACTGACTTTTAATTCAGTTTCTGATTTCACAAGTATGACTCCTGAACTTGCTGGCCACAGAATACTTATGATGATAAAGCTCAAGGACTTGGTTTAAATAAAGACAAAGGAAATATTAAACACATAGTTAGTATTCCCAATTATTTTATAAAATCCATTGTATTTTGTAATTGTTAATATGCTTTGAGAAAATCTTCAGTTATTTTTGTGATTGCTATAATCTGTATAAAAATAACTAAAACTTTCCAAACTCATTGGTCAAATAATAATTCTATAAACTGAAAAAATAAGGATAGCATAGCATTATAGCTATGTGTTCAGAATATTGACAGTTATAGCTCTGCGTTTCTAGCACAATTAATATCTTTGAAAATTCTTTAAATGTAGTGTGACCTTTGGGGAAATGCTTTAGGGGAAAGGCTTTGGCAAGGTTAACAGCTTCAGTTCTCAGTCTCTTTTGAGCTCTTCTGTTCTTTCCTGAGATTATGATGGTATCAAAAGATTGCAAATGTCAAGTCAGCTTTGTTTATTAAAACCCCTGGCTGAAAAGGTCCTTACTATCAACACCTTTCTCTCCCACTTCCACAATTGTCTAGATGAGTCATTTATTTCTGGGAAATATAAATCATACCTCAAATAGTGGAGATGTGTGTAAAGAAGGGTCTAAAGGAACATTTATTTAGTATTTCTTGCAGTCAGCAATGATTCTTACATATTCCATCCTAGAATGAAGTCTCTCATTCAACGTGACTTTGGCTCCTTTTTTTTGGGGGGGGGGGGGAGGGAAGTAATATTGGTTTATAACATCATATATATTTTCGGTATACAGACTTAACATATCAACATCTATACATTATACTCATCACCACTTTTTAAGAACCATCTCTCAAGGAAATCTTGGTCAGACTTAGACTTGAACCCTGGCTCTGACACTAGCTGTGTGACTCTGAGTAAATTGTTTGACCTTTTTAAGGCCTTTAGAAAGTAGAGTATCATATTCATGTCTAATCTAAGGAATATGCAGCTTGAGCAGAATTTAACCATTTGGAATGGCTACTAAAAACAATTTTCCATAATATATAACTGTTCTCAGTAGAAAACCACCTTTCACAAAACATTTTATCTAGAGATTGAAGATGTAAACAGATCTTGAAGGACCAAAATTATTAGTAGACCCTAACAAAGTAAAATTTAAGTGGAACAAATACGTGTGTATATTGGGTCTGTTTTTGGCTCCAGAAAAGTTTCTATCTATGGAATTATATACTGGAGGTTAGGGTTTAGCCAGCTTTATGTGAAATACTCAAAATGAGTATTCCAGTGCTGTCAAAGTATAGGTTTTAAAATGGTTAAGACTGTAGATTTTATTTCATGGGATTTTGGAGGCACAATTTTTAAAAAGTGAGGTGATCTCCTTTTTTTTTTTGTGTTGTTGTTATCATGGCCTGACCAGGGTGATTGTGTGTAGATTACAATTTACGAATGGTAGGATTTAGGCAGACTAGAGAGAGGACAAGAAATCAAGCTGTATGATGGAACTGGGGTTAATTTACAAGAAGGCTCAAGAAGGGGAGGAATGAAGACCTCTTGACTTTCTTAAATATTGAAGAATTGTTATTTTAGAAAGTATTTTTCATAACTTTAAGGAAGCTCTAGGACAGTGGTTCTAAAATTGTGATTCCTGGACCAACAGCATTAGCATCAAGGAATTTTAAAAAAGTATAAGTTCTTAGACTTTCTTTAATCCCAAAACTACTAAATCAGAAATTCAAGGATGGGATCCAGTAATCTCTGTTGACAGTCTCTCACTGGTTCTCTTTGATGCACACTGAAATTTGAGGTCCCTTACATTAGGAAAAAAAGATTTCAAATACAAAATTTGGCTACTAAGAAGATAACATTACTCCTTGCCTTTCTGTATAACAGAATTACTTGAAAATCTTTTTAAAATAAGCTGTGACCAGAATCTCTCTTAGAGATTCAAGTTAATTGGTCTGTGGTAATGTCTGGGTAATATTTTTTTGTTTGTTTGTTTGCTTGTTTTTCTAGGTAACATATGTTTACAGTTTGTTGTTGATATTTTGGAAGTATAGTATCCACCACCACCCCCCACTTCAGATGTATTTACCCATAGCACACTCAATACCAAAGCACTCTTAATCCACCATTTTTGTCCATTGTGCTCCCTCCCGGCTTTTCTTGCCCCTCCTCGTTCCCCTCCCACTTTGGATATGTTTTAAAAACAACCTAGGTGATTTTAATGTGCAAGTAGAGTTGAGAACTATCTTAGCAGAAGGTTGAACTACGATCACTAGGTTGGTTGTTTAAGAGGTTACTTGGGGACTGTATTTAAAAACAGATTCTGAGCCTCCTTGGTGCCACAGGGATTAAAGTCTTCCAGCTATCAAGTATCAACAGCCTCTGAGGCATGAGTTTAATCCCCAGCAAGGGAGTTGACCCACATGGTACAGCAGATGTGTTCTGTTTCTCCTATTACTCTTCTCAGTAGTGTATTTCAGTAGATCTGTCTATCTGCTTTCCACTATGTCTTTGGCAATTTTCTCTCTCTCTCTCACTCGCACACACACACACACACACACACGCACACCTCTGGCCTATACCCCAGTTCTTATATGCATAAATAAATCCTTAAGAAATAAAAACATTCTTAGACCTCAGCCCTGGAGGTTTATATTTTAAAATTATTTTTTATTATTTTATGTATTTTTTACATCATTACTTATTTTTACTCATTGTATGGTTTATCATCTTGGATGTAATCCCCATGAAATTCCCACTATCAATTCACCCATGCACCATCACCATAGTCCCTTGTGTTCTTCCCACCCCGATTTTGATGCTAATTCCTCCTACCCCCTTGCAAATTGTCTGTTATTTATAGTTACCTGTTGATTTTGGATTTTAATTTATTATAATTACTTGCTTCCCCTAATCCCTTATTTGGATCCCCTACATTCCTCCTATAAGTGAAACCATCTGATATTTTTCTTTTTCATTCTGGCTTATGCCTTATCACTGAGCATGATCCCTTCCAACTCCATCCATGTTTCTGTGAATGGCATAAATTCATCTTTTTGATTGCTGAGTAGTATATCATTGTATTCCACACCTTCTTGATCTAGTCATCTATTTTGGGCATTTGATTGTTTCCATAGCTTATCTATTGTAAATAGTGCTACAATAAACATAGGGGTTGAAGTGTCCTTTTGGGTAGATACCTAGGAGTTTTAATAGATTTGTAGTTGTCAAAGAATATTTTCTCCTATTTGCTCCCTCCCTTCCTCTCTCCCTCTTTTCTTTCCTCCATCTCTCCCTCCCTTCCTGTTACCGTAAACACAGTCAGCTTGATAAATGGCATTCTGGATACCAACACCATTATATTCAGTCAACTTTGTTACCAAATAGATATTGGACAAATATAATGTATAAGGACTGAGTTTGCTCTGTAGGGCAGTAATTCCCAACATGCTGGGTCATCAGAGTCATTTGTGCTTATATTTGATCACTCAGATATTTTTATTTTAATTTAGTAAGCATGATTTAGAAAAACTGTACATATGAATATGATTTGAAGCCCTGATTAATAATGGGGATTTACTTCTGAACTTTTTGAGAATAGATTTAATCATATTTGAATTGATTAGGACAGTATGCCATTTAAAGAAAGACAGTGTTTTAAGTGTATTTTAGTGTGCATAACCACACCAATATAATTTCATATTTTTGTGCATTTTAATTTTTGATGCTCTATAGTCAGAGTGTCAACACACTTATTATATCCACAAAGAGGTTTGCCATTATCAAGAAATACAGATGAAGTTATATTGGTTGTGAGGTCAAAATTCCACTTACTGAATCAGGAAAAGACTTGAGGTGGTGGTATATGAAATAATATATAGATTAAGAATGAAAATGTTTATATATATCCACTACTTTGATTTACAGTCTCACTTTTCTTTATTCATAGATACAACTTGGAGTAATCAGAAAAATACTGAACTTTTTACAGATAATTTTTGTAATGTATGTGGAGTGGTGCTACAGTGTGAATCACAAAGAATTTTACATTATGAGGTAGGTTAAAGTAACGGGAATAACCTATGAAGTAGGTTTCTAAATGTAAGCTGTAAATGTCATGTTATCTTTTTTTATTATTAAAGGAATTCTGTGAAGTAGTTAATATTATTTCTCATTGATAGATGAGGAGACTCAGAGCAGTACACTGTAAACTCAGTCTTCGTTTACTCCAAAACTTGTTTTCTTCACACCATTCTGCCTCCCTTGTATTCATCAGATCACTATATCCTTCTCGTCCTTGTAGTAAATAAATATAAGGGAGGCATTGTAGTACTTGAGTAGGAAACTGTGAATGTGAATCAAGGGATATTATAGAACTCCAGATTCTTCTGTTACAGTAAATGAAGGCTATCATAACAAAATGAACAAATCTTGTACCAGCTAGCACATGCTTTTAGGTACAGAACCATTCGCGGAAGCTAGGGGAAGGGGTGTTTATTGTTCTTACTCCTTGGTTTATTGATTAGAAAATTTAGACATAGGGGGTAGTGATTATCCATAGGTGGACATTGGTATGACTAAACCTGAAATACGATTTCTTCTGATTTCATATCCAGTGTTTTTTCCTTTCATTTGCCATCACCTCCCACTCCTGCATCATGTGATGAGCTATTGATATCTTCCATCTCTGATATCAGGTTTACCAAAGTAACAGACAGATTTACTGTGAAGAAATAAAACACCAGCTCTGCTTTTTTAAATGCCTCATTCTTTTTCTCTTATCACTTGTCTTATAAACTATTTGGCCACTATTGATATTTCAGCCCTCATGCTGATCAGGATTCAACTGCTATAATTATAGATAAACTGTTGGCTATGGGTTGAAAAGTTCTAGATTCAAGACTTCACTCTATTATTATTGTATAACCCTGGGTAAAGTCACTTCTCTGAAATTCTTTCTTAAGCCTGCTAAGTCTATCTTACTGTGCTTGTTAAACTTAAATATGTGAATGTGCCTTGTACATCCCCATACCTCTAGTTGAGATTAAAGTCAGTGAAGAGATATGATCATTTGTGTCTCTTATGATTGCAGTTAGTCATTTGAATTTAAATTAAAAGCTGTTTATGGGATTATGAAGTACTGATCAGTGTAAAACATATACAAGATATGAAAATTAAAAATTAATCATATCACTTGCAGCTAGCCATCATTTAACTCCCTTTTGCTTATATGATACAAGCATGTTATCTGTACATATACACATTGTCACACACACAAATTTTACACATTTTTACAGAAGAGAATAGTCCACATTGTATTCATCTTTATTCATTAAAAAGATAATGTAGGCCCTCCATGGTGGCACAGCGGGTTAAAGCACAGCACTAAGAAGCTGAAGTCACTTCCGCATGAATTCGATTCCCGCCTGCTCCGGAGGTGACCACATGGTGTGGCAGACCTCGCCTGACCGACCGCTGCTCCCCTCAGCAGTGTACTTCATCTATCTGCCTGTTCTGTTCCCCACTCTGTCTCCTGTGAAGCCTCTCGCCAACCCTGAGCCTCTGGCCTGTACCCCAGTTCTGTATGCACAAATAAATAAATCTTTTAAAAAAAAGATAATGTAATTTCATTATATTCATTTTTATTTATAAAAAAGAATTATTCCATGAATAATACTATGTTGTTTTACATTTAGTTTTTTATATTATAGCATATTCTGGATAATTTGTCCTGTCATTACATATTTTTCTTTTTCTACAGTATTTTAATGGCTAAAAAGCATTATATTATATAGTAGTGTAGCATATTTTTTAATTTAAATTTCAGTACCAGCTATAAGTTTAGTGCTTAAGTTTGTTAAATCATCAAATCAACACTATACATTTGAAAACATTTCCATACGGTATTCTATTTGAAAAGGTGATTTTTTTTTTGTCTTCAGTATATAGCTTGGTTAATGCTGTCAAACTATCTTAATATAGTACTTATTGTACATTTGAAATATAACAATACTGCAGAAGTCTCTACATTTGTCATCTAGATATTTTCCCATAATATCTTAAAGATTTTAATTCTATCTTAAAATGTTTAATTTGTCTAGTAATTGATTTTCTAGATGTAGACAATGGTAGCAGCCTTTTTTATATACAGATTGCAAGGGTTTTCATCTCTTTATTTGATAGTCCATTCTTGCTCTACTGATACACATATGTATGTCTGTATATATATGTTTGTTTTAAGGCTGTTACTCTCTTTCATTGTTTTGGTCTGTTTGCTCGCCTATAGTAAATTCTCATTACTATAGATTTTAAATAACTCATGGTATCTGATAAGGAAAATTTATATAATAAAAAATCATCATAAAGTTAAAAGACAAATCACAGATTGTGTAGTATTTATAACCCATATAATTAGCAAAGGAATATTGTCTAGACTAAGGAATATACATTAATTGGAACAGTAAACTGCTCAATAAAAAATGGGAAAGTAATATGAATGGCCATAGAAAAGACAATTAACTTGTGATCATACAGGAAATGTCAATTAAATTGATAATGAGCTATCTTCTCAAAACAATCATGCTGGCAGAATTAAGATCTAATAGTACGTAATAGTTTAAGAGAATATGTCATACCAAACACTCATATACTGCATTTGGAGTTCTAAATTTCTTCAACATTTTTGGAGAGAAATTTTATAATGCCTATAAAATTTGAAAGTTCTCATATTTCATAAGTTAAGAATGTTATTTCTGGGTAGCTATTAAAAACTTTAACATGTACATTAGGAGATATATTTACATGTGTTCAATGAAGAAGTGCTTATAGTAGCTGAAGAAACAAACATAACTGCTTCAATGGGGCTTTGATGAATAATGTGGAATAGAATATTATATACCATCAAACACAAGTGAAGTACAACTATATGCATCAATATAGGTGAATTTAGAAATAGTTATGAAAATGTTTAAAAAGAATAATAATGGAAGTATTCCATTTTCATACTTTTTTAAATAGTAGTAGTATATAATACTGTTTTATGGGTGCATGCCTATGTAGTAAAAGGATAAAAGTAAGTGATGCAGGCCAACTTAAGGTATTGGTTCCTTGTGGGGAGTGAGGAAAAAGAGATAATGGGCATGAAAGAATAGGGCTGTATTTGTGAAATTTTACCTCTTTTGAAAGTGAGCTCTGAAAGAAATACAGCAAAATGTTGACAGCTAGGTGGTGGGTATAGACCAGCTATATTGTTTCCTGTGCCCTTTTATATGACACAGATATTCCATAATTTAAAATTCTATAGAGAAAGTGATGAATTCATGGGGTGTGTTCAGGATCATTAGTTTACCTTCTCCCTACACCAACATTTTGGTTATTATGTATTTTGTTATACTTTTGTTCAGAGATTTTTCTAACATGCTTTAACCTAGAAGGATTAATTTCCTCGCTGAAAAGAATTGAAGAAGTAGGCAGTACAAGATTAATACAACAGCTGAATGACATTGTAAGGGTCATAGGCATTTTCTGTCTTGTGATGAATTAGTTTCTGTTCTTAAGATCCCTCCTAGTCTTATGTGATGTGTGGAACCTGACCTTTGCATCTTCATTCAAGAAGCAAGAGGGAAGGAGGATAGACTGAGAGCCCACTTAAGCCTTTTAAGGAGGCTTCTTAGAATTTGCGCCCAACACTTCAAACTTAAGTAAATTTGGGATACCATTGTTACTGAATAAATATAGTCTCATTATATGTCTTTTTTTTTTTTTTCAGAGTGAAAACCATGCTCAAAATGTTAGGTTTTATTTTCAACTGTATGGGGAACAAAATGAAGTGCCTGGTAAGGAAATGAAGATGCATGTTAGGAATTTTCAGGTGAGTGGCCTATGTCGATGTCTTCATTTTGAACTTTGAATTATTGAATCTTTCTAATAAGATTGTGCTTATTTTAGGTGCATGGTCATGAAGCAATGGACAGAAACAGATTTTGTGATCTCTGTAAGGTGATTTTTAGCTCCCCCACTGTTGCTCATTCTCACTATTTGGGGGAAATCCATGGTAAAAAACTGAAGCAGTTTATGGATGAGCATGATCAGGTGTCTGCATCAGGATTTCAGCCAAAGATGGGTAAGATTACATTTAGCTCTTTAGCTTCGATGTCAGTTCTCTCTATCATTTCCCCAACTCTGGCATCCTTTTCTCTTTTCTTAAGCTAGAGACCTTAACTTCAAGGTAGTAAGTTGATTCTTTTGCTTATGCCCAGTTAATCTCTTTCTGCATCCTTGCCATCTAATATGGAGATTATAATTGCTGCCTAAATTTTAAGAAATGTTATGACCTCTCCTTTTCAGTTTATTTAATCCAAATAAAAGCAAGTGATCTGCTGTGATGTTAAAAAGAAACAAGTCATCTGAGCTCTCCAGCTTCTAATCAAATCATATACTAATTTCCATTCTTACAGAGGAAATTATTTTTAACCTGAGTACCTTTATCCTGCAGCCCTGTGTAGAAAAAGTCTAAAGATAGTGGGTTTTCAAAGAATTCTAAATTTCCCTAATAGTGGTAATGAATGAAGCTCTAATAGCTGAACACATGTTGATCACTTTTCATTTCAATTATTTCAGCAGGCATGGCTATTACTAATTCTACAGAGTCAACTTTTCTGACACCCAATGCAATCAAGCCTCCTCCAGGTGGGATTAAAGACAAGACTGTGACTTCCTCCTCCAGCAATGATATGGATTTGAGTAATTCAAACAAGTATTGCGAGCTCCGTCCTGCTTCCTTTAATAGTTCATTAATGGTCCAACAACATTGTGTTGAGAAAAAGCACAAAAGAAATGAAGCTAGGAAGACATTTGTAGACAACATAAGAGAGAAACCTCGTCCAACAAAATCAGATGCAAATGGTAAACAGTAAAAACTGTCACACAGGAAGTTTATATTTTATAAAACATGCTGGCACATATATGTGTAATATATGTATATGTATATATATTATATATATACCAGTATATATATATACTATATATATGGCATATATGTATATATATATATGACATATATATGTATATATGACATATATATATATATATATATATATAAAATCACACATAGATAATTTTATCAGTTGATAGTGTACCCATGGGATAACAGAATTTTAAGTGCATGAGGACTTAAGATTCCATTTAGTTGTTTGTTGGTTTTCTAGAAAATGAGGCCTAGACAGATTTAAGTGATCCTTATTAATTACAGTCAATTATTGGTATTCCTATGGTTTCAGATTATAGCATATGTACAAAAGGAAATTAAATTAGTATCATGTGGTTATATCATTTAGTCACTAAGTATGGTTTAAGTGTCTCTTGAGTGTTAAGCTAGTTAATCTTGGGAATACAAACAAGGATATACCATTTTCCCTGAAGAAGCAAACATAAAAAACTAGTTAGTTAATAATATTTCATTGCTAGAGGTTACCGACATTGAACTTTGCATACATATTTTTGATAACCAAAGGAGTGAAACATTGTGGTTCAGAAAATCTTCATAGAAGTATTTGATTTAGTTTAGTAGAAGTGGGAAGGAGAGAGTATGAACAAAGGAGCTAAGATAGAGTGGCAAGAATTCAAGTATAGTAAAGATTCAGATCTTGACTGTAGTGATCCTTTTTTTTTTTCCATTTTTCCACTACAGGCATCTTCTCACTACTAGTGTATCCTATTCCCTTTTCATACTCTCTTCTGCCTACTTAGTTTACTCTTCCACTTACTGTTAGTTTTCAGTTCTTTCTTTACTAGATCTTTCTGCTTCATGTGACCATGTTCATTACTCCCTCCTTCTTGAAACTATATTCTTTGTCATATGTAACTCCTTGTACTGTAGTTCTTCTCCTGTGTTTCTATTTTCTTTTCTGGTTTCTTTGGGGATTCTCTTTAAAATTCATTACCTAAATATGCTCCAATGGTTCAACATAATCTAGTCTGTTTTCCTGAATTCCTCTCTCACCTGTATGCATGTGACTTTTCTGTTAAGCTTTAGACTATATATCCAAATGACAGTTACTATTTCACCAGGATCCCTCATAATTTTTTCAAATCCACTCAGTCCTTGGTCATTCAAAATAGAGCACAAGGGACTATGGTGATGGTTCATGGGTGATGTGGTGGGGAATTTACAGGACTGCACCTGAGGGAAGAAGTAAAATACCCTACAAAAATGAACAGTGTACTAAAATAAAAAAGTTTAATAAAAAATAAATAAAATTAGAAACTCGTAATTAACTGTGAGTCCCCCAACACCTCCTCCTTCACTTTCTATATCCAATAAAGTGCCAAAATATGACTGTTTTGCCTCATGAACAGTACTGTCCCCTTGTCTCCAGCCCTGTTCTTCCTGTACTAGTGTAGACCCTCAACATCCTTCCTAAAGCTTTACCACTAAAGTGTGGTTTGTGGCCAGCACAATAGGCATCACTTGGGAATTTGTTAGAAAAAAGAATGTTAGGTCCCATTGCAGACCTGCTGAATCAGAATCTTCATTTTTAACAAGATCTCTAGGTGATTTGTTTTCACTATATTTATTGACAAGCATTGTTCTAGAATATTGCCACAACTACTCTCCCAAATATCCCTGCCATTAGTTTTGTCTACTCAAATCTGTCTTCCCTTTCACCACTAGACTGTTTCATCTAGAGTATAAATATCTCCATGTCACTCCCCTGCTTGAAAATCCTTAATTGTTTCACCATTTTTGAAGGATAGTATCTCAGCTCCATAATCTTTACTGTCTTTTTGCCTGCTTTCTCCAGAAAATACTGCCATAATCTCTACGGGTCAGAACCTGCAAACTGCTTATGGTTTCCCAAGACCATTACCCTGTTTCTTGTCTCTGTGCCCTTGTTCATGCTGGTATTCTGCCTGGAACATCTTCATATCCCTCTTCTCTCAACTAACTCCTACTTATTCTTTGACATCTTATTTCCTATTTCCCTGGAAGCCTTTTCACTTCCTTTAAGACTTCTGTGCTTCCTTTCCCTACATTTCTAATTATCTCTCCATTGTTGTTATTTCCCAGTAGAATGTAAGGTCTTTGAGGGAAATTACTTCCTCTAGCTCATCTGTATTTCCAGTGCTAGTAATAAAAACTGGCAAAGAAGAGGCTGGCTTTTGTAGACATAAATTATTTTTATATATTAATCTTTATTGAATGCTTACCCTGTGTTTGTACTGTTTCTGTTTCCTATGCAATGTGATATGATTAAAAAATTACATAGAGATCTGTGTTTTATCTGCAATTTTAAAGGTTAATGATTTATGCAGGGGTAGAAACAGAAGTGGTAGGATTTTTGAAATCAGTAGGTGAGTAGGTGTTTGGAGAAAGTCAGGCTTCCACTTGCTGGGATAAAGAGTAGTAGCTGCTAGTTTAGAAGATTATTTTTAGGTAAGTTGGAATTGAGTAAGCTGTGAGAAGTGTATGTGCTGGTTACTTCTGAAGTTTCACAGTTATTAGAATGAGAGGAGGAATTGGGTATAGTTTTCACTTGGCCATAGAGGGGGTGCTTATTAGCATAATTGAAACCAATGATTGAAGTAATTTTATACTAGCCACTGAAGCTAGAGCTCAAAGAATATATTTTTCAGTCTTGCCTTGATTGTTCCATTTTGAGAACAGTAAACATTTGAAGATTAAAAATAGATGGAAAATGTAAACGGGGATTTCAGAGACCAGTAACAACAAAAGTCCATGTTATAAGTAAGTAGTAAGACAGAAACAGTTTAACATGCGCCACCTTAGCTATTTTACCCTTACTCATTTTTCCCTTCCTTCTGCCTTATTTTCCATCTGCTATTGTTTGTATGTTTCTACTCTAATCTCTTTGTCTTTTTCTTTATGATTCTCACAGCTTTTTTCATGTCCCTCATCTATTCCAGATCTTATTAGCACAGGACTGGCTACCCTAATGATATGGAACTAAAGTATGTATGTATTTTTTATTTATTGTATTTGTTTTATCTTACTAATTTCTAGCCTATTATTGCACTTAGATGTCTTCCCTTCACCTGTAACCCAACATATCTCTGAGTTAATAATCTATAAAACCAACTTGAACTTCCCAAGTTTTCTGTCTTTGCCAGTATTACTATTATGTACTAATAAGTTGCCTATACTTGACTCTTAAAGACATCTTTGATTACTTAGTTCTTTATATCCTATGTATAGAAAGTCTTGTCAGGTCTTCTTAGAAATATATTTTCCTTTCTGTACCCCTCCACTACATTTCCACTACCATAATCTCACACTTCCATGCTGTAGTAACCTTTTGTAAGACTTATACATTATTATTCTTTCATTCTTAATATCAAGATTTCAACCCTGCATCAGTTCTGCATTTCACCTTCATTACTTTTTACATTGATACTGGGTGATGTTATGGAAAGTTATGAAAGGCAAGAAATGGGGTACCTTTACAGACCCCTGTCATCCAGCTTATGCAGACTTTTATTTCTACTCAGTCCTTTTCCTTTGCTTTCTACTTAGCAGTAATTTTAAAACCTGCACTACTCTGCAAGATTCTCTTCCACTGTTATAAACTCACCCTTCTCACACTCTTCAACAATCTTTTTATTTCAAGAAAAATTTGAACATCAGATATGGATTGCCAAGTATTTTGCCTTAAACAAATTACCCCTTAACCCCGAGTTACCCAACTGCTATACTTTTCTCTAAACTTTTTAGCCCAGGGTTTTTTTGTTTGTTTGTTTTTGTTTGTGTTCGTTTTTTTTTTTGGGGGGGTCATGAGTTTGCAAATAATGCTCTCATTGGTTTCAAAGTTACTCTCAACTCACTGCATTCAGTGGCACACATTCCCCTAGCTTTCCATACCACCGGTCCACTGAAAGTACCCCTAACAGGTTCATAGTGGCCTCTAAATTTCTAAACCCAATGGACATCTTTACTCCATTCATTAATCATTCCTCTTTAAAAGTCTCTACTTTCGGCCCTCCTTGTGGCGCAGCAGGTTAAAACACTGCACTAAGAAGCTTAAACCACTTCGGCATAAGTTCGATCCCCGCCTGCCCTGGAGGTGACCACATGGCGTGGCAGACCTCTCCTCACCCGCCCGCTGC